TGAGGCACTTGTGCAAAAAGAAGAATTCTGGCAAATTCTCGCGCTAGTGCTCATCTGAGCAGCTGATGCGCAGGTGCTAGAGCTGGAAAAAACATCGATGCAACATCGATAGTATCGATGTTGCTCAAAAATGTTCAGCATCGATGTTTTTTCTGCAAACATCGATTATCGTCACTTACAACCGAAAGACAGAACTCGTTATAAGGGAAGGGAATATTTTATGCGCATTTGCTTACAAAAATTAATCTATTCTACTTACTTTAATAGATCATAATTTTTGGTGTTGGCGTGGATCGTGGTAGCGCCATGGACAAGTTTGTAAAAAGCAAGTATAATGAAATACAACTAATTTTGTACAATTTGCACACATATGTATACATATATGTATGCGAATAAATTTGTATTCTCACTTTTTCGCATACTTGTTTACATTTATGTATGTATTTAAATGTGTAAAAAATTATCAAATTAACTATTTTAAACTAATTCTATTAAAACAGTAACGGCAATTGTATTGGACGACGTTGGAACTAGCGAGGAAGACATCATATCTAGTCCCAAGCGGACCAAAAAGGACCTCGCTAAAACCTAAAATCACCAAAAACAGCTTCCTATCAGATCTCAATTAAAAATTTAAGCCGCAAACAAATTTTTATATTTTTTATGTCGATAATCGATTATAATCGATGTCTTCGTCCTAAAACATCGAAAACATCGATGGTGGCAAACATAGCTGGTGCTCACACTCGAACTGCGTGCCTCCTCCTGCAGCAGAAGTGACAGTTCGAGGCTCGCTTTGTCGCGAGTGAGTGAGTAAAAGGGCTGCGAGCTTAATGTCTGATGATCCTCGTGAAGCGGCTTCCAACAGCTCTTTGTACGCAATTGAGCGAGCTACGCGAGCTCTTGCCACCGGAACTGATTCCGATGGTTCGAACATGAACTCTTTTTTTTCCATACTTGCTCGGTTTTGCTTTTTCTTTTTTTTTACGTCTATTGACGGAAAATTTTTACACACAAGTACACTTCTGTGCACATACAGTATATATGTATGTGTGCCCCAGTTCATACAACGAAAGTGGCGCAGCTGAGTTTTCACCGTACGGTCTCAGGTCTTCGGCTCATGACGTCACACGAGCCGACGGACAGCAAGCATGTATGTGTGTACGTGTAACACTCCAAAATATATGATTGCACGCATAGAAGAATTTTTAGCTGCCGAAACCGATTTTGCTTGGAATTTCCGTTTACGTAAATGTGTTTTTGCCATGTATTCTCACATACTGTGTTGTGTGGGTTCTACAATTTTTGTCCGCATGAACCGAAATCATTTTTCGTTTTGTTTTGAGGGCTGATGTAGCGACCTGAGCTGACCTGCCGCAACATAAATGGGGAATGGGCAGAGTAAGTGGGGGTGGTATAAAAAAAAAAGAAATTATTTGTTTTATTTATTTGAAATGGCACATGCATATCCCTATTTTAGACATGTTTTTTTCTAAATTACATACTGACAAAGTTGATAGTACGGTAGCAACGTAGTCGAATGCTGACGGCATTTACACAATATTTATATACATAAGTAAAAATCAATGTATGTGATACAAAAGTGGTAAAAAATTTATATACATAGGGACACATGGCTATGCTTCAGAAAATGCTCTATAAAATAACTATATTCTGGAATTTTGAAGTGAACTAAATTTTTTTATATTGGTTAATGCTTGCACTCCAGAAAATAAAAGTAAAAACCCAAGTGTAGTGCTGAAAAAATAGTAAGAAATTTATATCCATATTAACTTGGTTTTAAGCTGTGAAAAATAATAAGGACAGTCTTCGTAATGTCATGATATTGTAACAAATTATTTTGCCTTTAGTCCCCTTTAACTTCGTGCCATAAATTTTCAATCGGGTTGAAATCAGGGGACTGCGCAGGCAAGCTTAAAACGATGACATAATTGTCCGAAAGCCATTTTTGTGCTACCCTCGAAGTATGCTTAGGATCGTTGTCCTGCTGAAACATCCATGTAAGTGGCATATTATCCTCAGCAAAAGGCACCATAATTTTGCTTAAAATTTGTATATACGCCACATGTCAATGTGTCCTCAATTCGATAGATGGGACCAACACACAGCCTTATACCATTATGGATCCTCCTCCGTTTTTAATGGTCTTAATGGTCTGCGCACATGTTAAATCAGGGTAAAAAAGATTACTTTTGGTCTCATCCGGCCATAGGATATTTCGCCACTTGCTCACAGGCCATGCGGCATGCTCCAGCGCGAATTGCATTCTCTTCGCTACATTCTTCCTTGACAGATAAGGAACTTTTCGAAGTCTTTTCGTTTTTAGATCATTAGTTATAAGTTTCTTAAGTATTGTGGAAGTGTTAACATCCATACAAAAATTATTTTTTATATCTTTTGACGATGCGAATGGGTTGAGTCTCACAAATCTCATCATATTTCGTTCAAGAGTTGGGGATATTCTCAGTTTTCGGCCGCGTGTTTCCTCTTGTAACTTATGTTTTAGGGCAGTTGTTTCCACAATTCCCTTAGAACAGCTCATAGTTTCTGCTTTTTTTCGATAAGTTAATCCATTTTTGTGGAGGTTTTGTATTTCTTTCCGTCGCAAGGCACTGCAATGCACTCCCTTACCCTTCCAGAATATTTAAATTATATTTTAGGCATGTTTTTGGGTTCGATATTACTAGAACTACTTACTTTCAATATTTCAGATCATAAGAAATCATTGAAATACGTTATTTGTACGAAATATAATTTATTTGATGTGTCTGTCCTTATTATTTCGCACAACTTGCTGTGAGCTGGACCATAGGCGGCTACTTAAGCCAATAAATTAGTCCTATTGGGTCAGGACAATATCCATAGTCTGGTGTTTCATGTTCTTTTATATTCAAATTACTTTATAATTTGTTAGTTTAACTGCTCATAGTTAAACCTTATAAAATAAATACAAATATAAATACATGCTTAACACGAGCTCTCCGCAGGTAAATGGTATGGATGCGTGGTAGATATGTGACGAGTACTTTGATTGGAAGAAGGTGGCAAATAAATTTGCAATACCAGCAGCAGAAGAGTCAGATTTTTTTTGATAATGAAGGGATGGAGGAAATGCATTGGACTTACGTTTAGAATTTACGAACGAATATAATTTGTTTGGATCACTACGGAAATTTTGACTACACCGAGAAAGGTATTGATTATAACACAGACTATTAACAGTAAGGAATTCAGAACGAATAGAGGAATATTGGGCGAAAACAGAAATAGATCCAGTATTCTGATACTTATTATAGAGCCTAGTTTTTCTATTCTTTAAATAAGACAAATTTGGTAGCAGCAGGTTAGAGCCAACAGGCTAAGCCAGGTTTCAGTTAAAGCGACAGCGGCAAAGTCAAAAGGTGCACTATTCGTATGTATTTGACACAATTTTCCTAACACTCTGCGTACGTTCTTGTAATGAGTGATAAAAAGGTTGTATAGTTTTTTGAACTACCAGGGACAGTAATATTGGCACTCTGGTCAAATAGACGGATCAAGTGATCTAGATAGTAAAGAATCAGGAAGAAGAATCTAAAAGAAGGAAATATTGCGCTTATGTCTAAAAATGAATTTGGTTACAATTATATCATTAGAGCAAAGATGTTGTTTAACATCCTCTATTGTAGCCTCCGGTATAAGACTGGAGACAAAGATAGCCTTTCGATATACCACTGCTCTTAGTTGAAGTCCCGAGCGAGAGAGAGAAGGTGGAGCCACTCCCAAAAAAGATCTCGTGGCAGAAACGATGGCAGCGTCGGTACATACGAAAGGAACAGGAATGGTGACAGGAACAGTTGGGACATCATGAACAGCAAGCACGCCCCAGTGGGAGCACTCAAAGCGGTGGCGACAGTGATGTAGTAACTGCTTCAATGATATTTGGTATATGGCGGATTGCCTAACGGCGAGGCATGACCGCTCGGAGTAGCAAAAAATTCCGATGTATGTAGATGAGAAGCAGGCCTTCCAACTCCAATAGGTTGTTGTTATCGGTATGAGGGATTTTCCGTCTAGGAGATTCACTCAAGAGTTTGAGGCCAAGGAATTGGGTTTCCAAGGTCAGGAGCTTCTCGTTGAGAGCGATAAATTGTTTCACGACATCCCGAAAACCAGTACGAGTCTGTCTCATAAAAGGGCGCATTTCGGCCTCAATCTCCCGGCAGGCCAAACATGACCAAGCCAGACCCATACGTTTTGAGATGAGATCGTGTAGCTGTCCAAAATTAACACCACCAGCACATTTTATATGGACGACATTGTCGCATAGCCAGCACCTAAAGAATGAATCGCCGACTATGTTGCCACCGAATTCGCATTTCTTTGCACTCCAGACAACATCCATTTTTGACAGAAGTTGAATCACTGTGCTCGAATAAAAAAGCAAAGTGGGAGCGCCATGATGAAAATATATATGTATAGTGGTCCCGTCGGCTGCCGAATCGTTCGGTTTTTAGTCCCTTAACGTTCAGTGCATGCTCGAGAGAAAGGTTGTGTGTGGAAAACTTTTTCGGAATCCTTAACCCTTGTGCACAACAAAAATGACGTATTGTAGTTTTTGCCGCAAGCACGTGCAAGGTGGGAAATTTATAAAGGCACCGAAATGTGTAGTGAGAAGAGCATTGTGGGAGTGAACTCTACACTGCAGCCTTGGAGAGAACTCCTAACTTTGCGATACCACTAACCATACAGTATACTGTATGGTTAGTGGCGATACTCATTTTAATGCTCCGGAGTAGGGTCAAAAATATATCAATATATCGATATTTTCCCAAAATAAAAATATATTTATATCGTGATATTTTTGTTGGCAAAATATCAATATTTAATAATTTTACCAACGGTAAAAGTTCGACATGTCTTCAGCACGTAACTATTTTTCAGATTTTACTGAAAAAACGGGAAAGTGCACTATATGCAGCCGAACTATCAAAACTAGTGGAAATTCGACCAATTTAATGTCGCATTTGAAAAACAAGCATAATGATGCATACATTAAGTGTTCAAAAAAGGTAAGGAAGGCGTGTGTGCGTGTGTGGTGTGTATGCACATGTAATTACGTTTGCAAAACGGTGCACGGAACTAAAACATATATGTACCTACATAATATATAAGTCAATAAGAAAAACTAAGTTTTCTCGCGAAATCTGCGTGCTGGAGCACATACACCTGAAACACACACACACAGCGAAACAACGATACCTACATTTTTCAAAAACAAAAACAAAATTCCGCGTTGTGAAATAAAAAAGGCAGTCGGTTTGCTGTGATCTGCAAACACACTTTTGCTAAAATTTGGAGCCATTCCGTTATAGTCGTACTCCACTAAAAACTGTAGTGGAGAAAAGCATTACGTTCGAGCGAGAGAGAAATATGATGTAGCAGATTTTCATACTTTTTACAAGCCTGTGTTTTTAAACAAAAAAACCACAAACACACAAATGTATCGTTGTATCGTTATTGGCTTACTATGTACATACATATGTATATATGTATGTAGATTATAATATGTAGGTACATACATATGTATATGTTTTTAGTTCCGTGCACCATTTTGCAAACGCGTTTTAATTTATATTAAAATACGTATTTTAATATTTCAAGCCGTTTTCTCCCATACTATGTATGAGGTATTCATATTAAACATATTTTATTTCAGAATCCAACCAAATGCGAGGAACAGCTCGAAAGCAAACCTGATGACCAGCTCACCATTGAAAAATCGTTTATGTCTGTGCAGGAATCTTATAAAGGTAAATGCCTGTTTTTTAATTTTTAATTTGTTTTATATTGAAGTTTTTTGTTTCTAATTTCAGAAAACGGTTATAAGGCTAAAACTAAAAGACAATTTGCCTATCCGCGCTGTAGAAAAGAAAGTTTTTGAATATTTGATGAATATAATACAGCCTAAATATAAAATGCCTAGCCGGTCCAAGGCAAGTGTTTAAAAAAATTTTTTTTTTCCAATTTCAATTGTAAATAGTTATATAACATAAAAAACAATTCACGGTCCAAGGCAAGTGTTTAAAATTTTTGTTTTTTTCCAATTTCAATTGTAAATAGTTATATAACATAAAAAACAATTCATCGCTTTTAATTACAAATCCTCTTTTTGCAGATAACATATTTGATGGAAGAAAATTACACACATTGCACAAAAGGTATTGAAAGAGAGTTTTAAGGAGGTCAATGACTTTGCATTCACCTGCAATGGTGTCACAATTACAAATTCAACTCGATCGTTTCTCACCATAACTACACATTTCATCAGAAATGAACGTCTACAGGCAATTTGCTTGCAAGCTGTTAGGATGGACCAGGTTTGAGATAGGCTTTTTGAGATATTTCTAGTCTTTCAATTTGAACAAGTGATACCTTTACGGAAAGCCTGGAATGTAAGCATTAGAAACTTGAAGAAACCCCATTACATTTGCATTCTATCTTCTTGTTATTTATGACTTTAGACAACTACCCATGATATCTGCTGTTCAATGAAATAGTAGTGCTGTGTTAAATTTATTTTTAAAAATGAAAAAACAAAGCAAATTAATTTAAATAAGTCACCATCCGTAAGCTCAATTTGGTTATTGAATAATTTGATGAAAGAAAGTTTTGGACATAGCGGTACTTTTGATTTTGAGGCGTTGAAGAAATCATTGCTCGGTCCAGAAGAGGAGACCTAAGAGTTAGACTAAAAACTTAAGGCAGGAGGTATAATGGGATTGAAAACTAAGTTTTAGGCACTCTCACTATTGTATTTAACCCAATTAACTAAAAGAAGTAGACTGGAAATCGATTTTGTATGCGAAAAAATTATTTTTTAGAGGATGGTCGGCGATGGTCGAAGGCAAGACCAGGCCTTTAATATCCTCAAAAATTATGAAACAAATTTTAAATCGCTCTGTCAGTGATGTGACGGTTCTTAGACGGTTGATTACACATTATTTGAATGCAAGAAGTCCCAGAAAGCACCGCGTTTGGGTCTAAGAGTACATGGGTGCACGACTTCAGTTTGGAAAACGCATGTGGAATGGCCTGTGTCACAGTGACAAAAATACTTTTGACTAAAGATAGTAAAGTTGTATTATATGGTAAGATAAACTCAAAAGATTATGTTTGGCATTCACAGAAATCCGATTACCACCTAAAATCATGAAAAAATTAGCATTGGGCATGCTAGGCTGAGCCTTATGGGGCCCAGCTCATATGAGCTAGTACTTTCTGGCCTGGCGTTTGAGTATAGTATGGTTTTGAGCAAAACTGAGGATGTAGGCATACTTTAGAATACATTACATTCATATTACAGTTGAAAAATTCCTGCTAAAAGGATATTTTAACCAGATAATGACTTGAAACACCCATAAAAGCTCGCTAGGAATTGATTTTTTTCGAAAAAGATCGACGTTTTTCCATGGCCAACTGTCCAACTGGATATTAATCTCATCGAAATCTTATGAGGGAATACCAAATACATTATTGCAACTGCAAATCCGTGAACCAGAGCCAAGTTTTAGCAAGTGGTTCATGGATTATTGGCTCAAATCCTATTGAAGCGTTGGCAAGAGATTAATGACCCATATCCGGCTGGTGCAAGTTCGAAATGAAAACCAAATTGATTAAAAACTATATATTAAAGCTCAGGAAACATGAATAACATGAAATATATGTTTTTATTTGAGATTCGTTGTTTTTTTCAATGTTCTAAAAAAACACTACTATTTCATTGAACAGCAAATTTCATGGGTATTCGGCTTATGTCATGTAAAACAAGAAAATGGAATTCAAATGAATTGACATTTCTTCGGTTTTCTAATGGTAACAGTCCAGTCTATTTAAAAAGGTATCATTTGTTCAATTTGGATAGCTGGAAGTGTCTCAAAAAGAGTTTTGAAAGTGATGAGGTGCGGCACTACTATTTCATTGAACACAATTGTATATATAATAATTTCCATATTTAATTCAGTCACATACAGCCGGATATATTTGCAACTTATTAGAAAACGCTTGTGACGAGTTCGGCATAGAAAGGCTTAAGTGGAGAAGTCTCACTACTGATAATGCCAATAATATGAAGGCAGCATCCAGATTATTTGTTGGTGATGGGAAACATGTTCCGTGCTTTGCGAATACCTTAAATTTGGTAATAGATGATGTAGTAAAAAACATTGATTCGTTTTCGAAGTTACTGAACAAAGTTAAGCGTATCGTAAAATATTTTAAGCAATGTCCCTCATCCATGGACGCATTGCGAAGCGGAGTGAAGGAGTGCCAGAAGGTCGAATAAAGACATTGATACAAAATGTTGATACTCGATGGAACTCATGTTTAGACATGTTAGTGTCCTTCCTAGACCTATCAAATAAGGTTGCCATCGTATTGATAAACCGATCCAGTTCGGTTAAGGCCTTACCCGGAATGGTCTCCATGAATGATCTACAAACTTGCCGAGATTTCTGCATTTTGTTAAAGCCTTTCAAAGATGCAATTGAAACGAGAAGGAACGTGTGAGTAGCTTCTGGGGACGCGACTCTACTTATACCCTACTCAGTCAGTATATACATTGTTGAGCTTATGATTTTTTAGAATTTTAGAAAAAAAAAAATTTTACATTTTACATTTTTTTGCTACATCTGCTATCTACATATACATATACAATGTATATTCTACATCTAACATGTAGATTATAGATGTACCATTCATATTCTACATCTCCTCCGCTAGGGGTTTCTCGCGCACTGAGCGCGGCAGAGTGTGCGAGCGAGAAGGAAAATGAGTTGCGTTGTCTTGGTCGGGAGGGGGAGGGGAAGCAACTGAAAATTAATTTCTTCATTCTGGCTATAATTATGATCCGATCTGATTCAGATTCGGCAATCTGGTAGATATGGGCATTCTCTACGATACTGCGATACTTTTTAGTTTTATCGTATCCTCAAAAATGTGCCTGCCACAGATTTTCGTCCTTTGTGGGGGCGGAAGGGGGCGGGGCGAAATTTTGAAATACACTTGTAGCAGAGTGATATCCCATGAGTCTGGAAACCAAATTTGGTTGCCCTAGCTCTTATAGTCTCTGAGATCTAGGCGCTCAACAAGACGGACAGACAGACAGACAGACAGACGGACAGACAGACATGGCTATATCGACTCGGCTATTGATGCTGATCAAGAATATATATACTTTATGGGGTCGGAAACGTTTCCTTCTCTGCGTTACACACATCCACTTTTACCACAAATCTAATATACCACTTAACTCTTTTTTGAGTACGGGTATAAAAATAAGCGGAGAAAACTACGTTACCGTCAGTTTGGTAATTCCTCTGATTTCCATTCTTATGAAAAAGTTTAAAAATTTTAAAGTTTAATCGGATGATGGTTTAGTTACAAAAGATGCACTGTTGAAAATTTCGGAATCTCGCTTTTATTCACTGAATATGAATAAAACTCTTGTGAAGTCAACTTTATTGGATCCTCGATTTAAAAAGTTTTACATTCAATCGCCAATGTGCGTAGTGGATGCAAACCAAGACATTATTTTGGAAATGAAGAGCCATGAAGAAAATGTACGTAACTTAAATACAATATTGTATTATTTTTTTGATTAAGAGTGTACAGATATATTTTCTTAAAAATGTATTAGCTATTAAAAAGGATGGTATTAATGAAGATTACTAATTAATTTGTGTATAAATTCTTTCAGCACTCATTAGCTCCACAGTTGGAGAGCGAAGTTACAAAAGAAGATGTCAATGCAAGCTTCCTTGACACACATAATCGCTCAATTTCAATACAAAAACCTGTGGAAAACCCGGCTCAAAAGGAATTGTCCTTATTCCTAAGCTTGCCGCTTACCCATTGGCAGAGCGATCCCTTAACATTTTGGTTATCCCAAAAAGAAACCTTTCCGAATCTTTTCAAGGTAGCTCTCAGTCACTTGGTTACACCTGGAAGCTCAGTGCCATCAGAGAGGCTGGCCTCAGCGATCAAGTGCGTTGTCTGTGATACTCGCAGTCGCATGACAGACAGCCATATAAAAGAAAGGGTATTTTTAAAATCCTTAAGCAAAGAATTTTGGATGCTTCCTTGAATAAATAATACCTACATATGTATAATTTAAAAAATTTGAAAAATTGTTGTGTTTTCTGTATGGTAATTCAATTTCAGGAATTGCTGTTAATTATGTTGAAAAACAAAAATATCAAAAATATCGAAAATATATCTATATTTTTTCGGTGATATATTTTATATCATTTTGATATTTTTTCAAAAAAGAATATATCACCGATATGATATTTTTTAAATATTCGGCAACCCTACTCCGGAGTGGAAATTAGCTGCAAAAAAGGCCATGTCTTTAAAAGAAGGCGCCTGAATGATGATGCTGTTCCGCAATTTAATTTAAAATTCAAAATGATTAAAAATTAAATTATAATATATATTATAGTAGGGACGGCGCAAACGCTATTCACGGCTACCAAAATTCCACAGACGAGTTATTCACATTAGGAATAATCGCAAAGGTCAACTCAGTCAACGTGCAATGACCAAGTCTCACTCCGGAGGAACACGGTTAACCTCTACGCCTCTACTCGGCATCGGGGTTTCCATGTCCTCACAGCTAGAAGCAGTTGGGAATTATGAACCTATCCTACTGCTACCCAAGAACACTGTATAGCTTTAAGACTTGTCCAGTTTTCACTAATTTTTAGTCCCGTTTGCGATAATTTTGCGAGACTTTAGTCGACGCTTGGTTTTGGTACAATAAATGCTCTTTTCTTAGTCCGTTTGCGAACATTTGGCGAGATTTTACCGGTAGCTAGCTATTTTCTCCGTTATGTTTTACTTTCCTGTACATTTTTTACTCATTTTTAAGTCCGTTTGCAATAATTTGGCGACTCTTAAATGTCCTATGGTTTTTGTTCTCTAAATACAGTTCATGATAGTGGCTGGAATCGAACACATCATTCATCCAAATATCCATTCTTGCTAAAGGCCTGTCTCCAGCACCGATTCCGATTTCCGATTCCGCAGTGCTGGAGACAGGCCTTTAACATATACTTTTATCCGATTGATGAATCAATTTTACACAATATTGGCTCATTACTCCTTTTTATTAGATTTTTTACAAAATAAGGTTCAAACAAAAAGGGTCAATTAATAAAACGTAAGTGTGTACGGAATGAGACGTCATTGTTTCTGGTCAACCTGGCTTAAGCTATGAGTTTGGAAATTTGTATAACCCCTTTATCCTTAAATTAATGTAAAATTGGTGTTTTCCAAGCAGAGACTAAATAGTTTCTGCACTCATTGGAGCCTGAGATGTAAAGCATTTTATCAATTCTATAATACCCTTTTTCCCTAGGCATTCCATAGCAATGTTGCTTATTCCGTACTCAAGTTGCGGAACAATGCTGCATTCCCCATGTTGCTGAAATGTTGTCGATACAAATAAAATGTATCTAACGGGGACGGTTACAGTCTGTTAGCGGAGAGCGTTAAAAGGCTGTTACTGTGGGCGGTTAACAGAACTGCTGCCATGAAAAGCGTCAAATCCTAACACTAGTCAATACGACATTTACGCTGTGGCCCAAAATGACTTTTTCGAATGGATTTCGGGATTTAAAATTTTTTAACGAATTATGGATTTTTTATACCCGTACTCAAAAAAGAGTTAAGGGGTATATTAGATTTGTGGTAAAAGTGGATGTGTGCAACGCAGAGAAGGAAACGTTTCCGACCCCATAAAGTATATATATTCTATCAGCATCAATAGCCGAGTCTATATAGCCATGTCCGTCTGTCCGTCTGTCCGTCTTATGAGCGCCTGGATCTCAGAGACTATAAAAGCTAGAGAAACCAAATTTGGTTTCCAGACCATGTGTACACCTCTACAAGTGTATTCAAATTTCGCCCCGCCCCCTTCCGCCCACACAAAGGCGAAAATTGTGGCAGGCACAGTTTTAAAGATACGATAAAACTTAAAACGCAGTATCGTAGAAAATGCCCATATCTACCAGATTGCCGAATCTGAATCAGATCGGATCATAATTATAGCCAGAATGAAGAAATTAATTTTCAGTTGCCCTCCCGCCAACGACAACGCATCTCATTTCCTCCGCTGCACATTCTGCCGCGTTCAGTGCGCGGCAACCCCTAGCGGAGGGATTTAGAATCTAATTGGAACATGTAAAATCTACATGTTAGTGTAGAATATACATTGTATATGTAGATGTAGATGTCATATGTAGCAAAAAAATGTAATATGTAAAATTTTTTTCTAAAATTCTTAAAAATCATAAGCTCAAAAATGTATATACTGACTGAGTACGGGTATAAGTAGAGTCGCGTCCCCAGAAGCGACTCACACGTTCCTTCTCGTTATGGTTTATTTTTTTTTTTAATTTTAAAAAATTTGGTATTTTTTTAATTGTTTTTTTTTCAGAGGCAGTGCTTCTATTTTTCACATAACTTAAGTATATATATATGGTTGCATAGAACTTTGTAGTTCTGAAAAGCTGACAAATGCAGCTACCCAGACACTTTGTAGCTGCAGCTTAACGCCTGGAAGACTTTTTGACTTTTCCTGAGTTTTTAAAGTCAAAATTTCGGAAAAAAATACCGCAAAAACTGATGATTTCAATTTGAAGCTTAATATCTTCCAGGCGTTAAGCTGCAGCTACAAATTGTCTGGGTCGGATTTATAGATGCATTTGTCAGCTTTTTAGAACTGCACAGCTCTATGCAAGCAGTAAGTAAAGTGAAAAATATATAATATATATCCTCTGAAAAAATGAAAAAATACCAGATTTTTTTAAATTCTTAAAAAAAACATAGTACTATACAAATTTGTAAGTCACGAAATCTATCAGAAAAAGGCATTTTGGTCCACAGCGGGAAGAAAAAGTTCAATTTGGTAATTTGATAAACTCAACTCAAACAGATAATGAAGATGATATTATAAGTTGGAGCTAAAGAAAACTATTTAAAGGACAAGGTAAGGGCAAACTTTCATATTTAGTGATTCGCTTGAGAAAGAAGAGGAGAATTTTTAAGATTGATTTATTTTAAATTATAACTACGTAAATGTACATATAACAACAAGCTGAAAGTGATGCGATGCCTTCGAGCAGGATATGCGACTATTTTTGTACCTGACTTTTACATTGACGCCTAAAAATATGCTTCAAAGTATCTAAGTGCTTAATATTATACATAATCTGTAGATACCATGTAGATACAAATTATGCCATTGAAGGGATGGCGTGACTCTGGATTCACTTAACATGCTACTGGACTCACACATTGTGCATTCATTGTTTGAGTATTTATAACTTTTATATTATATTTATATAGATATATTTATGTAATTTGGGTTTCTCTCAGCTAGTTTCGTTTTATTCTTGGCCATGATGAAATTATAACAAGGCGGGGATGTATTCGCTCAACGCGCGGCCAGAGAGGCGCGCTCTCTGCCGATATGATATCTATGCATCTCGCTTAACAGTATTTTGTTGATGGAATCAATCGTTCCATTCCATGAACCAAAATCTGCCATGATGCGCGCTCTTTGAGCTCTTTCGCTCTCCTCTCTCTTAGGATGATTCAGCTCCAGCTATGTTAAGAGCTAAGAGTTCAAGATATGATTTCTACCATGGTTTTTTTTACTTTTCTTGCGCATGGTTGCTGTTGCTGCTGCGTTTTTTGTTTTCGGATATAATTTTTGTTCGATTCGATTCGTGTGTGCTAATTTAGAGTGAAAATACTGCCATTTGTTGTTTGTTGTGTTTCGTTCTCATCATCATCATCATCGTCGAGGTCGGCGAAGCGGAAAAGTAGCGACAACTAAAGCCGATCGTCGCCTTTTCAATTTCCAAAAGCGCGCGTCCATCCGTATATCTGTGTTCTCTCTTTCCGTCTCTCTCTGTGTGTGTGTGTGTGTATAAAATTCTTTCGTTTTAACCAAAATTCACCGCCGAAATAATACAGTAATCGACTCGACTGCCGGTTTCCTCGCCTCGCAAAACTCTGAAGGTAAGAATTGTATGCTATCCCTCGCACCCAGTGCCCCTCCTTCAACACCTTGAAAAATTAGTCATCGCTGTGGTTTATATGCCGCAATGGTTTAATTAAAAAAGTGGCGCGGCTGCTGGCGCTGGCTCCTGGTTCCCACCGCACCCAGTCCAGACGCTGTCAAAGAGAGCCACGCCGCGGAAGCAACAGCCAGCCTAAGAGAGCGCCCTAAAAGCGGAAGAGCGCACACGTGCTATGCGATTAAGGGAAGGGGGCCATGGCCATTGTGTCGTGTCGCTGGGGATAAACAACGGTAAATTGGGAATGCAGGCGGCGTACATACGTACATATGTATGCACATACATATTCCCCGTTCACCGTTACATCAACTCCAATTTTACAACGCGTCGTCCAGCCCTAAGCGGCAGCAGCACTTGCTGCGGCGGTTGCTGTCCGCTGTCCGTCAATCAAGAAAGTTTCACCTGTCCACGGTCCGGCAATGCGGAAGCGTCGCAAAGTGCGGCTGCAGTCGCAGTAGCATTTCTGCAGGTTTCTGCGCGTTCAGCACGCTGATGCACCAAATACTTGGACACTCGCACTACTGCCCGCTACGATCTTCGAATTGTGCCCTGACATCAATATTAGCGCTGTCCGGGGGTCCGACGCTGCCCAGAGTCCGGAATCTATGCAAACGGAAAGTGCTAACTGAACACTTTGCACCTTGCCCCCCCGTACCGCAGTACGGATAATTGCCGGTGGAGGATGGCGAGATGTGAGAACTAAAAGCCGAGTCGACAGTAATTGGGGTTTCGGGGGGCGGGTCCAAATGGGAATGCAAGTTAAATAAGTGACGACAGACAGGTGGGCGAACTTAACTACATACATATGTATGTTTAGAGACAAAAAAAAAAAAGACGCAATGCTTGCGATAATTCCAGTTTGCTCATTATAAATCAGGTATTTTTGACTTGATCGTTGGGTGATTGGGTGGGGTGTGGCCTTGCTTGATCCTCGTCCTACCTCCCATTGGGTCTAAGTGCTCTTAAAGTTCTCCCGGGAGCAGCACACCGTGAGCGAGAGGAGAGAGAGAGAGAGAGCAGCTCACTGCACGCACACATGCATACGCACATTTATCGTGGCGAATAGAAATTTCATTACGATAGCGTGTCCAAAGTCCAACCGATTTTTGGCTCTTCGGATCAGATCTAGTACGCGTACACATACATACATGCACACAAATATTTAATTCTGCTTGCGTGTGTGCTAATATATGTTTTAGCGGCGCATGCTTAATAAGCACTTTTCGGCAACACAACTGTCATTATGCTCAAAGTTCTTTCTTTCAACCAGTTTCTGGTAACAGCGGGAATGATTCCCAGTGCTCTCCATGCCATCGGAGCTGCTCGGTCATTGTACCATATCTGATTTTGTTCCCAGACGACTCAGAGCCATGCGAAGAGCTGCCAGTCATTTGTTTGACCACAAACATTTGAATCACACCGCAGCATCATCAGAACCGAGTATCAGAGCCGGCTCCCTCGGCCACCTGTTGCCGTGCTGTTCTGTTCTCTTCTGTTCTATGCTTGGCTGTGAAGCCAAGAGATGCCGTTAGGCGTGGCGTGGCGTGGCGTGGCAGAGCTGGCGGCGGTTGAAAGTCTTCTTTCATCGGGTTTCCATATTACAGGCCGAGCGACTGTTCTATAAATATTTACTCCCTAGCTCTGGCTCTGTATCAGAATCCAGCTTTACTTTTATGGCCATGCCTCGAGAATCGCGCTCCGGCTCAAAAGAGCCAACTAGTTGCTGATTTGCATAAGTTATAGTCGAAGCAACGAGTATGGAAAGGGTTACTTTTGAAGCCAGATAATCGCTGCATCGCTTCTTTTGGCATTAATTACAGAAATTAGCATAAAGGGCTGTGGATTTTCTGTGTTCGAAGCCTATCTCTGTAGTATTTTGGATTCCAGGTTTTGAATCTCGTTTTTATTGGATGATCCATGTGACCAATGTATATTGTGTGCATCCCCACGAACAGTCTCGAAGCTCACGCGATAAGTCGCGGCCCTTTCGACTTTGACTCCGTATTTTGAATATTTCGCATATGCTGGTCCCGTCCCTGGTCTTTGCCATCTGGTTTTGTTTTCTTCGGGCGTTTATCTCGCTTTATGTTGTGTGCTGCTCTTTCGTTTTCCTTTGCCCTTACGATGCCGCTGCCATAAATAATGTGTATGTGTGGCGTTTGCGTATTTTACTTTCTTGGCCCCGTCTTACCATAATCCAGACGAGTTTTATTTATTTTTGGCAACCTGCCTGGTCGGGCGTTACATAACGTCAACTCTCAATGGTTTCACCACGACTTAGAATGCCGAAACTCCGTCCGGAATTATGCATTTCAATACGCACATATTTGACTTATTATCGACAAGTTTTCGGGGGAAGTGCGTGTCCGAGAGTAAAGTTTCCGTCAAAGATCTCATTCAGTTGGTCAGATGGTTAGTAGTTGTTGTTGCGTCTGCTTTTGGCCTCTCGGTCAATCCACTAATCAAATATCAGGGGCTGCTCTGGGCTGGGGCTGGGATTGGAGCTGGGCGGGCGTGACCGGCTGTGGGCCAGATACTTGCGCTTTCATTTCAACATTACCATCAGTGCTTCGGGCGTAGATTCAAGCGGTTTAACCAACTGATCGGGGCCGCCTTTATTTGACTTATGAGACGCGTGGAATGCCAAGTATTTCCCTACAGTATACCTCCAAGTAGAGGTGGACATTGGCTCTGAATTTCCCTGGGGCTCGTGCTCGTGCATTCGTGCTTAATATCGTGAGAGCACAAAAGTTCAAGCAAAGAAAAAGTGGAAAAGTGAAAAAACCAAAATGTACTCAAATGTTGTTTATAATTTATGGAGAACTCCATAACCTTTTAGAAATATTTCTCATCGGCGTAACATTTCCAATAATTTGTATTCCTAATTTTCTTAGGAAATTCTTCAGTTTACATATATGTATATGCTTCATGCGCTCATCTCTACTTGCCATGGCATGGCCTTCTCTGCTCTGGCATGCTCTGGCACTTGAAAATATGTACAATGACATACGTGCATCGTTTTCATACCCGTACCCCTCGAAGAGTTAAGCGGTATATTAGATTTGTGATAGATTTGTGAGCAACCCAGAGAAGTATATATATTCTTGATCAGCCCAGAGAAGTATATACATATATTCTTGATCAGCGTCAATAGCCGAGACGATAGAGCCATGTCTGTCTGTCCGTCCTGATGAGCGCCTAGATCTCGGAGAGTATAAAAGCTATAGCAACTACATTTTGTTTCCATACTCATGTGTGCAGTGTGATAGCACACAAAGGACAAAAATCTGTGCCATCCACAATTTTGAATATACGAGAATGTCGTAGAGACTGACCATATCTACCAGATTGCCGAATCTGGATCAGATTGGGATTATAACCAGAATAGATGTATAATATACATTATAGATGTAGATCAAAGATGTTGAATCTACATTTTAGATTTAGATGTAGCAAAAATGTAAAAAATAAAAAATATTTTAAAATTCTCCATTTATCATTAGCTCACATATTTATTTACTGACTAATTACGGATATAAAAGTAGAGTTGTGTCCACAGAAGCGACTCACAACGTTCCTTCTCGTTGTTCTTATACCTTTTCAGAGTGTTTTGCAATTTTGCCCAAAAGCTTGCGGCGCATAGAAGATAATTATTTCGGATCCTATAAAGAACACATTGCACCTATCTTCTCGATGAGCATACATACATACTATATCCAGGAATACATTAAACACATCATGTTGCACTGATAATTGCTTTAGCTGCGTGGATTATATCCTCCCCAGGAAAATGTAAATTTTGTGGTCGAAAACATCTTTTATCGAGTATCGAGTTACATTTAAGCAACTCAAATAGTTAATCGGGGCAAAGTGCAGTGAGATTTGAAAGAAAACACATTCACACAGTGATAATATCAGTGGGGCGCAGCTTACATACATACATATCACTATTCATAAGTCAGTGATCTCAACAGCCCTTCCCACTCCAGGTGCTCATCTCTAGCGATATCGACGCTTGCGCTGATTCCGCGCGCATCCGAAAATTAATTGGCTCTTGTGTTGCTGCTCGCATTTTGGCCGGACTCTTGTACGTGCTGACGCTGCTCGGGCAGTTGGACAGGTGTTTTCATCGACCTCCATTGGCTCTTCGCATATGTATGTATGCATGTATACAGTGTACCTGGCCACATACATATACACGACTTGTATGCGTGTGAACATATGTAGTTATGGATGTGGTCGACTCATTCATAAATAAAATAATAAAAACGCCGAACAAATTTACTCGATCCATGTGCCATATCCACGGGTCATGTGCGGATAGGCGGGCAGAAGGTAGAATGCAGGGGGTAGAAGGGTGTGGAATCATCATCGTTTGCCCATGCAATCAGCGCCATCTAGCGTTAATGAGATGAGCCCACTCACGCACATACCTGTATGTAGGTATGTAGATATGTGTACACATGTATGTACAGTGCAAGCTCGATAGAGCGAATACGCGGTTAAAGCTTCCCAAGTGAAACATCTGTTAGTTGGAGGAGATGTGGGGAGAACTGAATGCTGTAATGAACTTCGCCTAAATCCATATATTGTATTCACATATGTATGTATCTAAGTTTCGCACATAAATAATCCCCGCAAGAGCATGACAAAATGTAAATATTTTGCATATACATATGTAAATGTGATTAAATGTATTTATTTGCTGGGGGAGATACATAGTATAGTCCGGTGGGATGTGTGTCAACGTTGATTTGCATAAAGACCGTGGCTGTCCGCCCAAGGGGCATTTCACTGTATCGAAAGATGTCTTTAGCTGCTGCGCAACTTGACCATGAAATTCATTCGGGGGGCTACGTGCTACTATTTCCGTTTTGTAAGAAAGTTAATTTGCCTCGCGTCTTGAGTATTAAATACGGGTATTGAGCGGTGGAGTGTTGA